CACACACACACACACATGCGTGCACACAGAGAAAAAGAGAAAGAACACGGATATTGTCAAATGTTGACAGTATACTTTTTGTTGTATTTGATGTGTGTAGTTGCCTTTCTCATTTCTGATTGGATCAACCTTAAACAGCTGCAACTTGCAAAGGTGCCAAATACACACATTTCAGTTCGTTTTTTGTTTTTTTTTCAAACTCAAGATTCAGATTTTTGCCTTACAAAGCACCATGGTTCTATAAGGGAAATATCATATTGCATAATTCTCTCATCATCCCAATGTAGAAACCCTGTGGACTCCAAAAGCACAAAGTTAAACACTAAACACTTCCAACCTGGTGGACTAAGGGGTTTCAAGCATTCTGGGATCCAGAAGTTATTGTGTCAACATATTTACGGCAGATCCACCGTCGCCACATCCATGCAGCGCTCCGTGACTCTGCAGGAGTGCTTCATGTTTTGGATCATTTTCTCATTGTCCATCTCCAGTTCACATTTACTTTGTTTTACGCACACGCGTCATATCTATTGTATCTATTTTTTTCCTTTATTTTAAAAAGAAAAAAAAAATACTTGAAATCACGCTATCTGTTCTGCAGCCTTTTTTTTTTTAAAAACAAAACAAAAAAACAACTGATTTCCACCAAGAGGCTACAAAACATTTTGTTCATTTTTCAGAAGAAATTCATTGAAAAGTTTCAGGCCGGGGAGTCAGGGATTGTGCTTAAACCGTTAAATGCACGTCTTTCTACTTGCATCTTAAAAAATGAACAAAAAAAAAGAACAAAAAAAGAGGAAAAAAATAAAACAGTATGGAGAATTCAAAATGGTTGTCTTCTTTGAATAAACTGTGAACATTAAAAAAAAAAGAAATCTCAAAGGAAGAGGGCCACTGTGTCCACAGTGAAGCCATCTGTCTTGTAAAAGGAGAGTGTTGTTGTTGATGTCACTTTAGCATTGTAAGATGTACAGTGTGAAATAAATATGCCCGTGCAATGTGTAAATAACAGCATGATGATTACTAGTTTTGCTATATGATAAAAAATAAAAGCAATTATTTTATTAAAGTTCAGTTTTTTCATGGCTTTTTGGCGAGTGCTCTGTTGTATTTGTGCCGAAGCAAAAACAGCACGAACACTTGGTTCTTTAGCTTAAAACAAAAAATAAAACACTAAAGAGAAAGACAGTAAATCTCAGTGACAGCCACATCAATCAAGTAAAGAAAAACCCATAGAGGGACTTTATTCTATCTCAAAAAAAATCAAAATGAAGAGTAAAAAACAGGGAGGGAAAAGGCAACAACAGCCAGACGGGAATGAAAGAGAACTAAAGAAAAGGAAAATTTCAGAAGAAGGCAGGGAAATGGTAACTGCAGTGATTGATGAGTCACATGATTGGTGGATGAGTCATCCATCTGTACACTTTACTGCGCAGGACCACACACACACACACACACACACACACACACACACACACACACACACACACACACACACACACACATACATATTCTCTTTGAGCTGTATAGTAATTTAGCTGCTGGCATTTAAGATAAAGATTGAGTCATGTTTGCTTCTGCCTCGAGGCTGCCAGTCGGCCGGTGGAAAGGTGTTTGGTAGATAGGTTTCCTACCATATCTTGTTTCCACACCTCCCCCTCACTCTCACATCACACAGGCAATATACCCTTCTGGTATAATCCCTTGAAGTGCTTCTGGTCGCTCGCTTGTTTGGCATCAAAACAAACTTTATGCATGCTGTCAGCGGTACAAACAGTGACAGTGATTAGCAGGTTGTCAATATGTTTTAATCACGTGTTATCTTGTGAGCTTGCGCCTCGGTTTATTTGAACAGTGCCTTTCATGGTGTTTCTTGGACACCATTTCATGAATGCAGACATTGGGTTACAGCTTGTAGTTTCTATCTAGATATTCACAGAATGATTGCAGGAATTATGTTTTCATTTGTCACTTAGCCACTTGCCTTTAGGCAGCAGTGCTAGAGAGACAAAGACCCTTGGACCCTCGATCCTAGCAGTGAGGTGATTTGGTGATCCCGGTGGTGGCAAGAGCGATGTGGGCATGCTGGTTGGTTGGGATGATGTGGGAGGATCAGTGAGTCACTTAATTCTTTGGCAAATATGACAATGAGATTGTAAACCAGTATGTTAGCCAGGCCCTCCACCACCACCACCACTACCACCAAAACAGCAGATGAGAAAACATCTGACTCTTAAAGACTGAAAATCAGGAGTCCCGGAGAATCAATGGCGAGGGCCACTGAAACTGTTCAGCACCTCACTAATGGGCTTCATGGTGCTTTAAGAATATCAAAAGAATAGTTTCACATTTTAAAGAGTTTATTGCCTTTCTATCGTGATGATCGGGATGATCGTGGCTCAAGAGTTGGGAGTTCGCCTTGTAATCGGAAGGTTGCCGGTTCGAGCCCCGGCTTGGACAGTCTCGGTCGTTGTGTCCTTGGGCAAGACACTTCACCCGTTACCTACTGGTGGTGGTCAGAGGGCCCGGTGGCGCCAGTGTCCGGCAGCCTCGCCTCTGTCAGTGCGCCCCAGGGCAGCTGTGGCTACAATGTAGCTGCCATCACCTGTGTGTGAATGGGTGGATGACTGGATATGTAAAGCGCTTTGGGGTCCTTAGGGACTAGTAAAGCGCTATATAAATACAGGCCATTTACCATTTCTAATTTTGGCTAAACATAAAGAAGAAATCACAGTCATTTTTTTTATGACGCATTTTACACGCTATATTTTTATTTACGGGTCACGGGGAATAAAACAAAGCTGTGTGAGATCTGCTATGTCTCTCACCATTTCAGTCAGTTTCTGTTTAGACACATGTGAAAAACATTATTATAGCGATGCTGGTGAAGAATACAAGGAAAAATGACAGTTTGTTTGTTGAGTGCTCTTTTAAGCAACTTTAAGATGGATTAGTTTTATTTAAATGTAAAATGTGATTTGAATGAGTTTAACTCATAGTTTAAAGCAACATGGAAGGAAGTCTGAGATGGTTTTGACAGGGGGGGCGGGGTAGGTGACAAAGGATGATGAATATGGAGCTGCCAGGCACGAGGAAAAGAGCAAGTCCATCAAAGAAGATTCATGGATGTTGGGAAGGAGGATGGTTGGTATGACATGGTCAGGATAGGATAAGATGGAGACAGCCAAAAGAAGAAGAAGCAGGTAGTTTAAGCAGTAAACTACCTGCTTCTTGGAGGCAGCAGAAACAAACACTAAACACAACCTTGACATATTGTCTTTTAAACCGGCATTTAAACTGGTTTCTAACCTGAGGGTGTCACAGTTAGCGGAGAAGCCGACTGTGTGGAGAGAGGAGGTGGACCCAAGTGCAGACACACGAAAACTAAACTTGATCTTAAATAAGGGTTATTTTTTACTGGAAAGGACTTTATAATAAAGTAGGATTGAATTGGATTGGATTGAAACTGTGAGTCGTTTATTGTAGGCTGGTAAAACAGTACAAAAACAAAAGGCAGAGACAAAACGAAACAATAGACTAAACTAGGAGAACGAAGTCTAAACATAAAAAACTCTGGAACGTGAACATAGAAACCTGACGTTTGGCATCAATTCATAGACCTTGAAAGATGGAATCACACAGCAGGATGAACAGACAAGGAATGAATGAAAACACACAGACTAAATATACACAGGAGGTGATATGGGGAAGTGGAAACACATGAGAAAACAGCTGATTAGAATGAACATAATGACACCACAGGGGAAGTGAAACTAAACACACTAAACATGGAACACCAGACCTCTTCAAAATAAAACAGGAAACATGATGAGACGCAGACATGACAACACAAACTTGACAACATAGGACACGCAGACATGAAACATATAACAGATTGTCTGTGAAGGGCCTTGTAGTCTAAGGAGGTTGGAAAGAAAAGCGTCTGGACTTCTTTAAGATTCCTTGACGACGTTTCACCTCTCATCTGAGAAGCTTCTTCAGTTCTAAGAGCAACTGGTGGAGAATCCCAGATTTAAGCCCTATGGGAGTGTCCCCAAGAGGGTCATGGACCCCCTATTGATCCTCTACCTAATCACATGAGCCAAGGTGTGAAAATGGGTGTGGGTCACAATCAGCCAAGGTTTCAGGTGAACCGACTGTGAAACTTAGCCTCACCTTATCATGTGATTTCCTGAGGTCAAATGGCCCAGGATGTGAGTGGGCGTTAAGGCGTCTGGGAAGGGATCTCAAAACTGGATTATAGATGGCAGAGAGTTGGTGTCGTAAACCACCGCCTGTGTTCAAAGATGGCCGTTCACAGTGAACATAGATGGCTTCTTTCACTCCTCTTTCAAACCATCTGTCCTCTCTGTTCAATATGTGAACAATGGCATTGTCGAAAGAGTGACCTTTGCCCTTTAGATGCATGTCAAGGTGGCTCTTCTATATATGACAGATTAAGACATGCAGACTTAACATGGCGAACCAACGAGGAACATGCACACTATAAATACATACAGAGGGAAAAGGGGACTGGGGAGGAGCCACTGACACAACTAAGCACAAACAGAGCATGATGGCTAGGGGGAAACACACGTGACAGAAGTAATGGGTCACAAAGGGAAAACATGTAAACGAGTAGGAGACAG